AGGGCTGAGTACACTCTGTCGGGTCCTGCGAGACCTCAACTCCAGTAGCGAGAGGGGCAAACCGCGACGGGGATGTCAGGAAGCCGACTACTGAGGAGGGCGCAGGTGTACACTGCACTGTGGCTAGGAGGCGCCACGGGGATGTGAGGCGCCGGGGGGGGACTGAGCACGACGCTGACGGGAAAAGTCAGCATAGTGGCGGTCAAGGGCGGTGGTATAAGGGCACCGCGAAGAGGTATGATCGTCCAAGCGACAGCGCAAACACCCACGCCGGCCCAAAATAGTCGCGCGCTCCTCAGCGGAAAGGACACCGCGAGGAGGGACAAAGCCCTGAGGGAGGTCCTCCTGAGGGACCTCGGGGGGCGACGCGCCAGCGTGACCGGGGCAGCTGCGTGCCCAGGAAAGGGTGGAGAGGATGAGCTGGAGGCGCTCAGCCATAGGGAGAATAGCGTCCTCCAGGTGGTGGTGGACGGCCTCGTCGAGCTCGAGGTCGTCGCTATGGTCACCCTCTGGCGACAGTGGGGCACCAGCGTCCTGCTCACCATACTCGAGCGCGCTGAAGCAGCGCGAGAAGTGGCGGCCCTGCTGCGCGGAATGGCGGGGGCGACCGCGGAAAGGGGTACGGCGCTGGGAGGTGCCGTGAGAGGAGGAGGAGGCGTAGCCCGTGCGCTGAGGCTGGGAGGAGGAGGCGGGGTGAAGACAAGTTCACATCCGCTGATGGTCCCTGGCGGCCTCGTAAGCCTGCGGGGCCGATGTGAACTCGTAACGCCATAGCTCGGAGCGGTACTCGAGCGGAAGGCTGGCCAAAAAGCGATCGATAAGGGCAGCCTCGGGGAGGAACGCCACGTCATAAGATAGGCGGGCATCCTGAAAGACCTGGATGTGGGGATCCAGAGCGGCAGCGCCACCAGAGTCGGACCAGCGTGTCGTGACAACTCGCTCGAAGTCGTCAGTCACGTCGTATCGGAGTCCGACCCTCACGAAGGGAATAAGCGTAGAAATCCTCCCAGGCGTCGAAAGGACCGCCACGCAGGATCGTGGAGAGGTGACCCACCCACGTGTCGGGTGTGGCGCCCATGAGTTGGAGCGTGCGGGTGGCAGACTGCAGCCACCGAGACACGCGTATGCCTGTACCGTCATACAGGGCAATGTCCGACAAGCAGATGAGTGGTGCGCCACCGTTTTGGCGGCGAGGGGATCGAGGAGCAGAGGCCTGTGCCACGACTGAGTAAGTCGGCGCAGGTCCTGGAGAAAGGGGCGCAACTGACTGTGCGCCTGGGCCGCATGGGGGAGCGGTGGGGGAAACTGCGGCAAGCTGTGAGGGAGCTGCAGTAGAAGAGGTCGCAACAACGGCGGGAGTAGGAAGAAGGTAGGATGGGGCTGGATAGGGTGCAGGGCGTGGGAAGCGAGCCTGCATGGGAGGAAGGGTAGAGGAGGTAGGGGGTGCGCCTGAGAGCACCGCCACCTGTGAGGGCAGGGGTGGCTGAAGGCGTAAGAGGGCGAGGTCGGCCCGGATCTGGGCAAGCTCGTCCTCGAGACGTTGGACGTGGATAGAGCGAGGAGTGGCGGGAGGAAGAATGGAGGAAGTGGACGCATAAGCGACGCGGGTCATCCCAAAGGCGGGAGAGCCAGCAGGCGCTGCGGTCGTGTGAAGGGAAGGGAGAAGTGGGGCACCCGGAAAAGCTGAGACCATGGTAGCGGGTTGTGGTCCCGTGGCCGTAGTGGTCGGAATCTGGGCGGGTGCGCCCGTAGACTGGGGGAGGGCCTAACTCGTGGCGGACGTCGAGCTAGGGGCGTGAACGGTCACCAAGATGGCCGGGTCGGGGGCAGCGGAGGAGGAAGCTCCGCCGTGGCCACCCTGTCGGAGGACGGGGGACCCGGACTGGGAGCCATGAGATGAAGGGCAGGCAGCGTCCTGGAGTTGCTGCATGCCGGCGGCAAGGGTCGCCACCTGCGCCTGTAAGGGCGCGAGGATCGCGAGTTGCGCCTGAATGGGTGCGAGGAGGGAGGTGATGAGGGTGTGCAGATCCCCCTGGGGCTGGTGGCCCTGGTCCGTCGGCACGGGTGTGGAACCCTGTGCAGTGGTCGTCGCCGCGTTGGCGGCGTGCGACACACCATCGGCCATGGGGAGGTGACGGGTCGGATTGGAGGGGGCCAGGAGAGGTCCGCGTGAGCGGAGGGGGTAGGGGGGAGTCCGCGGTAGAAAGCGGCGGACGGCGCTAGCAAGGCTAGCGCGGGCGCCATCAAAGGGGGAGGGGTGGTTCGGGTCCAGGGTGCCCGAAGAGGAAGGGGAAGTAGGGGGGGGTTGAAGAACCCTAAACTTCTAGAAAAACCCTAAGAACACCCTTACCGGAGTTTAAGTGGTTAGGGTAGGGTACCGGTGACCTAATCAAGAAAATAAAATAGCAAGCATAGGGGGGGAAGTCGGGAGAAAAATAAATAAACAGTGAGATTTTAAGAGAAAAACAAAAGAAAATAAATAATAAAAATAATTAAGGGAAGAAATAAACAAAATGTGAAAAGAAAGTTAATATTTATTTTTTTGAAATTTTCGGCTGCATTTCCCTACCCCCCATGGGGTCAAGAATGTGCCAAGGGGAAAGGGGAGATCAATATAAGCACACTAGGTTTCAAACTGCCGCAAATAAAATTTTTCAGAAAATAAATTAAAAAAATAATAAATAAATAGATAAATAAATAAATAGGTAAATAAGTGGGTGAGGAGGTGGAGAGAGATGGGGTATCTGATTTTTCAAAAATTTTGGCAACATTTCGTTACCCCCATGAGATCGAAGTGTGCCGAAAAAGACTAAGTAAGAGAAAATCAGAAAATTTCAGCAGCACTTCGTTACCCCCACAGGGTCAGAACGTGTATCGAAAACAAGAAGGACTAACACCTAATCAGATTTAGGGTTGCCGTATAGAAAATTGAATTTTCAGAATAAATAGAAAAATAAATGAAATAAATCAGAAACTGAGAAAGAATGTGGGGAGGGAGATAATTCGAATTTTTGGAAAAAAAGGAAAAGATAAATCAAAAGAGAGAGAGAAAGAAGAAAAACAGAAAAATTCGAAGTAGGAGGGAAGGGGAATGAAAAAATGAAGGAGAAAAGAAATAAATAGGTGGGAGAGAGAAAAAGATGAAGTGGGGGGTAGGGGGATGGTGTGGTGGTAGTTGGGGGAGAGGAGGGATGGGGAAAGGTGGAGAGGGATCAAGAAGCAAAGAGAAAAGAAGGAGGAAAGAAAA